TATATATATATATTTTTTTTCTTTTTAACTTTCTCTGTGTTTCATCTTTGTCACATACAGTGGTGCCAAAATAATTGTTAGCCGAGAAGGAAATTGGAAAATTCCAAATGTCTTTGTAGCATTAATTTAGAAATTACAATTTTGTCCCTTATTGTCACATAATGAATATATATAATCAATAAAAAGAGACTGGTTTACCTTAAATGTGTGCATCCTTAGTAGAAAGGGTACGAAGTTCAAATCAATTAATTAGTGAGCTAAGAGTTTTATTACGATTTACTTTGAAATATGACAAATATCTATTTGTGTATTCGTTAATTTACTAATTCATAGAAAAAAATAGAGATAACTTTCTAATTATAATTAAAAAATTACGATAAAATTTTAATTAATTATTTGTATATCTCATTTATTTTATAAATTTGTTAAAGTTAATAAGAAATTTAATCAAATTCAATTATTTTAAAGCACTTGAAGTGCTCCGATCAATGGATTGGTTAGGTATGAATTTGATAAGCCAAAATTGTCTAATAATTTTTTTATAAAATATTAAGGATAATAAAGGCAAAATCTCACACACATCACTTATGTAAACTTCGAATCTGAAACCTTTTGGTTGATGGCCAAAGCTCCTAACCAACAGATCAAGATGATTTATGCAAAATGTCTGGCATGACTCCACTTAGATTACCCAACTTAGAGATTGAGTTATTGAACTTCCTCAGAGAATACAAGAGATTGGCCTTATGCCATTCCACCATGCCGGAAGGGCTATTGTGCTTTGTTATACAGTTCAATTTTCTACCTTTGAAAGTCATACACTTAGCTTACTATGTAATAACTCAAATATGTTAAATAATTTTTATGAAAAATATGAAAATTCTGAAGTAGAGCGCTTTGACATTGATCTGATGAGCACTGTGGCGCCAGGCTTGCATCACCCCATTGACTCCCTCACTTAGTTGTTTGGCTAGGAAGAAATTGAAATATGGGAAGAAGAGAGAGGAGAGAGAAAGGTCTTTTGATCATATTTTCTAGTCATTTATGTTACAAATTTTATTTTATTCATTGTAAGTGACTATTCTCTTACTTTTATTTTTAATGATTTTGATTTCTAAGAATTTTATCTCTTTTAAATTTGTCAAAATTACATTATCTCCTGATTTCATAAGCTTTCTTCATATAAGTTTGGATATGTTATAGATTTGATCATTTTGAGTGATTTGATAAGATTTTATTATATTTTAAATGAAGTATTAAATGATATCAAATATATGATATGATAACTTCACTTGATACCCTACTGATCCACATGATTCATTGATTGGGAGTCATAGAGATTGATTGGGAGTTATAAGGAGTCAAGGTGACTATTTCACGCAATTCAAGGGAAGTTATAAGAAGAACATTAATTGGGAGTTATAAGGGATGATTGATTGTAAGTCATAAGTACATGAGCAAGATACCCTTAAGATACACTTATTGAATATCTAAATACTTATACCGATAAACTACGAACACTATACTGATATTGTGATTGACACTAATATTATTTTATATCATTAATACTATTTAATGTTATTGATCATAACACTAATATTATTATTGACATTAGTGCTGTTAACTGTTATTGATATTGTAATTGATTGATGTAATGAAATGAGATGTGATGAACTATAGAAGGATAAACTGATATTGATAATTAGCATAGATATTGATGCATATATATATTTCATATGATTTATAACATATTATTATCTTTTATCTTATATTGATTTCAATTATAAGATTTTAATTACTTGCTGGGCTATATGTTTATTATGTTATTTTATATATTTTTAGAAAAAGATAATGATCCTATGTTATGAAGCTTCGGACAACAAGATTTTTAACATGAAAACCCTGGAAAATATAAAACACCATGGTTTTTAATGTGGAATCCTTGAAAAAGGAAAAAATTATGAGGTCTGGCCTAGTTTAAATGATACCACTAGACTTTGAATGAATTACAAAGCTTGATTCGTCCTATAATGCAAAGGTGGTAAAATTATAATAGCAGATAGAGTTAGGTGGAAGTTTGTCGTCGTTTGGTGGCCAGATGGATGTTCGGCGTCGGTTTGTGGCAGGGCAGAAGTTTGACATCGATCAGTGGTCGGGTGGAAGTCTAGCGTTGATTGGTGGTCAGATAGAAGTCCTGTGACGGTCGGTGACCAACGAAAGTCCGACGTCGATCAGTGGTCAGGCAGAAGCTTGACGTCGATCGATGGTTGGACGAAAGTTTGGTGATGGTCAGTGGTCGAGCGGAAGTCCGACGATAGTTGGTAGTCCAATGGTGGCCCCGTGGCGGTCGAGGATGAGCATGATTGCAAGAGATATGTCAGATTTCTCTTCCTTCTTTCTCTTACTTTTTTCTTCTTTTCTTTTCTTCTCCATTTATTTTGTGAAGAATGAAGGGTCTTTTTATAATTTGTTGGGAGTGACATGACTAGTAAATAGAGAGAATACCAAGGCTAGGTTTGGAGTGTTTTAGATGAACGCCCGATATTAATTCCCATGATCATGAACTGTTGATCGAGCATTTAATTGTCTTAATGATGTCGAAATTCAGTGATCTTGTGCTCGTTGAATTTGTTTCGTTAAGCCACTCGATTAGACTATAATCATGTCACATCGAAAATCATTTGGACATTCAACTTATATTTTGAAGTTTCCAAATGTGCTTCAAGCCATCGATTTGGACCCATTTGGGCTTGGATCGGATCGAACTTGTTATGATTGGGTTTGTTTTTTCGAGATGTTCAGTTGGACTATAAATTTGCTGAATCATAATTTAGGTTGTCCTAGAACTAGTTTTGAAAGTTTTCATTTAAAATTTATTTCGAGATTTGTGGGCGTTCATGATAATTTTTTGGTGATATATCAGTCTTATTTCAACATTATTAAAGGACAATATTTCTTTTAAGCATATTCATAATAATATTAAAGGACAATAACGTATAAAATTGCATAAAGTGATATGAATATTTATGCCCAAAAATTAAAATTGTAAAAATATTTACAATATGGTTAGAATAAAAAAAATGTAATTATGATTAAATTTAAATTTATTTTAAAAATATAATTTCTTTATTTTTTAAAAATTAATAACTAAAAACCTTATTAAAATTAAAATTTGATCAATTATTCTGATTCAAACTCTCTAATATTTTGATGGTCAAGCTAATGCACGAGGGAAAATGGCAACCACAAAATATTAAAAAAGATGTTATATTATTATTATAATAGGATGTTTTATATGATTTTGCATAAGAGTTTATAATTATAATTATAATTATAATTTAATTTAATTTAATTTAATTTAATTTAATTTCGTGGCAATTAAAAGATAATTCCAATGATCTTTCGAAGAAAATATGCTTTGAATCAGTCAAATTCCTTAAGAGTCCATAAGAATTAAGAACTGAACGCAGAATGGTTAAAATGTAAATAACAAACTCCTATAAAATAAAAAAATGAGACGAGTTTTCGACTTCTCGCCACGGCGCACAAACCCTAACCCGTACCTTCAAAATTCTCATATTGGGAAATCCGATCACAGAAATCGATTCGAGGGCCCAACCCTAATTCGCAATTTGTTTTTTAGCTTGATCAGTTGCTGTTACCTTTTTCATTTGATTATTTATCGAATACTTTAAGCCGTGATACCTGCCGTCGAGAAGAAGGAGAGGGCGCAAGAGGGAAGGAGACGATAATTGGAGTCCGGAGATCTCAACGCGCAGTTACGCTACTTGGATTCAACGCTGCTTCATTGTTTTTTTTCATGGGAGAGAAGGTGAGCAGACAAGGTCCTCTCTGTGAATTCCGCGTTCTTGTTGTCGTGGTTTATGTAGTCAAGTTGTGTTTTTCTTCGTTTGTTTGGTTTTAAAGCATGGACTTCGTGTTGGGGAACAATTTTTTTTTCGTGATCCGGGCTTGTTCTCGTTGATCAGAGCTGGGAATGTGATTCTTTATCTTGGGCCTTGAAAATCGTTTGTTTTTTAAGGTTTTCCCTGCTTGGGTTTAAGTTCAATGCTTTGGATGGCTAGGTTCATTGCCTTCCGATTTTGGATTTGGTTAATACCCTCTTAAATTTCATATATTTAGTTTGTCCGTCTTATACTCTTATCCGCTTGCGTTGGAGATAATTTAGGGGGGGGTTGTTGCAGTATTAATAGAATGCCTCAATAGCTTCTGAGTACTTACAAGGTTTGGATTTGTTTTGTGATTTTTTTAGAAGTGAGAGGATATGATGGCTCTTGGCTGCTTCTCCAGAGAAGAAGAGGATTTGTTTTTTGACCCCAGAGACGACTTATCTTCAGTTTTTGATTCGTGTCCTGCTAGCCCGGCTATTAGCGATGTTTCATTCCCAGAAGAGAGTTCGTCTAAGCGGGTGAACAGTGATCCTTTCTACCAGGTCTGGATGAAGAGTCCGTGCAGCGTACAGGAACGGCGAGCGAAGTTCAAGCAGATCATGGGTTTGGATCCCATTCCCAGCCCTTATTCTGATTACATTTCTCCAAATAGAGAGCATACGGTTGATGACAAAATCACGGAGGGCATTGATAGGATATCTTCGGATTGTGGTGCTGTACTCCTGAGTTCAGCTTTGGAGAATGAATCTCTACGATCCTGCTGCCCTGTTAAGGCTCCCAGCACATCTCAAGAGAGATCCTCTGATGAGCTATTTGATCATAGAATCAAAAATTTGAGTGATTCAAAGCAGAATGGTGCTAGTCGAAGCCTTCGGGAGGACGAGAGGGTTTTCATGTCATCTTATGCTAAGCAATTTATGCGAAGGAATAATAGCTCGTCAAGCACAAGCTCTGAAAAGATGACGATTAGAAAAAAGTTTGGGTGGTTGAGGAGATTAGGTGCTGTGACTTGCATTGTAGATAGGCAAAGATATAACTTTGCTTCAGATGTCTCTGATTCTGAGGAAAGTTCCAGAACCAAATTTCAAAAAATTCAAGTTCGCCCATATAGAAAGCAATCTAAGGAATTCTCGGCTGTCTATACGGGGCAAAACTTTAAGGCCCATCGCGGGGCTATCCTTTGCATGAAGTTTAGCCCTGATGGAGAGTACTTAGCTAGTGCTGGTGAAGATGGAGTTGTGAGAGTATGGCAGGTGATGGAGTGTGCAAGAACCAGTGAATATGAAATTCCTAATGATGATCCTGCTTGCATTTACTTAACTGTGAGCCGTAATACTGAAGTTGCAGCTCTTCATGCTGATAAAGAAAAAATGATCAGATCTAGGAGTTTGCGCAGCACTTCAGATTCAGCTTGTGTTGTGGTTCCTCCGGAGGTTTTTCACATATCTGAGAAACCATTGTACGAGTTCCATGGTCATAAAGGGGATGTGTTAGATCTTGCATGGTCAAATGACAAGGTAAACTTGAACTTCAGGACATGTAATTGATATATTCATAGCATAGAATTCCTCAAGAAAGTTACTATTTTGATTGTTTTTTTTCAAAATATCTTTGAATTGAAAATGAACACTTCCTGCAGCATTTGCTATCTTCTTCTGTTGACAAAACTGTTCGTTTGTGGCAATTGGGGTGTGATGGTTGCCTCAAAGTATTTGCTCATAACAACTATGGTGCGTTTTTTGTTCTTTTTTAACTGACCTGTTACCATATTCTTTTATCACTCTAAATTGCAGGTCAAAACCTGAATTCATTCTTTTGGTCATGCAGTGACTTGCGTTCAGTTTAAGCCCAATGATGAGAGATATTTCATAAGTGGCTCTATAGATGGGAAAGTTCGAATCTGGGAAATTCCAAATTGTCGTGTTGTGAACTGGACTGATATTAAAGAAATAGTTACTGCAGTTTGTTATCACCCAGATGGGAAGGTAATTAATTGTTTTTCTTCCCTTTGAAGCTCTTTTTGTGAATTATCAGGTGTTTTTGAAGCTAATAATGCCTCTGTTTGGTCTATGCAGGGAGTTATTGTTGGCTCCATGATGGGTGATTGTAGCTTTTATGATGCATCAGGTGCACACCTTAAATTGTTTATTGATTTTCACATTAACAGCGAATTAATTTCCCATATCCAGTTTGTTATATACTTTAAATATAATATGCTATCCTTGATGCTGAGGTGCCTGTAGAGCTTCTTATCACATTTGAATTATTTTAGCCTTTCTTATGCACATGAAATTACTTCTTATGTGTTACATACTTGGGGAAATAATGTCAGAAACAACTAATATGTGAACATTGGAATCCTCCGTTTTCACATACATTAGAAATAAGAGATTTCTTTGGGGATTGCATTTTTCATTTATCTACTAATATGTTGCTTTTATTTTATCCTTTCTTATGCACTGAAACATGTAGAAGTAAATTATTGGCATCATTGGAGCTATTGCTCACAAAATATTCCTTTTGCAAGACCATCACTTTTGATTGAGCAAAACGGTTCTTATAATCTATTATTAGGGTCCATTTGAGTGCTTGTGGATGGTTAATAGGCTTCAGAAAATTATTAACTATATCCAATGAACTTAATAATTTTCTGAAGCCTATTAACCATCTACAAGCACTCAAATGTTGTTGCTGTTGGATTCTATCTTTTGGTAGAATGCAGTGTTGTAGTAGAAATCAAATTGGGATTTTAAATTTCCAAAACTTTTCAAATATAATGATTTTTTCTCAAGAATAAAATAACCTTTGTTTTATTTGCAACCAGCCAAATTGGGCGGTAGCCTATTTCCTTGGACGAGAGATGAGATTTAGGCTTCATTTGGGACGGCTTTCTTGTTGTTTCTTAAAACAGCTTTCTAGTAAGAAAAAATTTTTAATTTTTGTACTAGAAAGTTGTTTTATGAAGCATCAAGAAAGCCGTCCCAAACGAAGCCTTAATTGAAGTATGAAAGCATTGTTATACTTATGCAGATTAAATTAACTTGTATTTATATAAAACTCCCTCCTTTTGGGTATTCTCACGAAAAAGGTCGAACATGAACAATAGTTTACCCTATTTTATAATAATTAGCTCCGGTCTTATGTCAAGGTTTCTTGAAACCCTAACAATTCTACTAAGATTTATCTATTACTTGGGTTTGTGAGAAAATTTTGGTATAACATTATTGCACGTTTCATAACAAACCTCGATGACATTGCCAGATTAAAAGATATATTGGTAGTACTGACGAAGTTTCAAGAAACTCTAACATGAGGCCTAGTTAGTTGTCCTGGTTAGTTGATGTCCCATGTGTTTTCCTTGAAGTTGCATTTTCATTTCCTCCTGCCCTATAATATTTTAGATTTAATTGTTGTTACTCGTTGGATGATTCTTACCTGCACTTCTTATTTCTGATGTTTCAGATAATCGTCTTCAACTAGATAGAAAGGTTTCATTCGGTGGCAAAAAGAAGTCAGTAGAAAAGAGGATCACTGGCTTTCAGGTAAACATTTTCATTGATATTAAGTGACTAAGGCTTCATTTGGGACGGCTTTCTTGCTGCTTCTTAAAGCAGCTTTTTTGTACAAAAATTAAAATTTTTATACTAAAAAACTGCTTTATGAAGCAGTAAAAAAGTCATCCTAAACGAAACCTAAATGTTTATATTCATCCCAAATTGTTCTAAATTCATGATTTTTTATTCACTAGTTTTGCCCCAGCAGCAGTTGCAAGCTAATGGTTACTTCTGCTGAATCAAAAATAAGAATCCTTGATGGGTTTGATGTAGTCTCTAAATACAAAGGTATTTATTTCAATTAGGAATCCCTTTTAACTAGCTGGAAGAACTCGTCATGTTTGTTCAAAATCTCATTTCTTTTTCGTCCTCACAGGCTTTCAGAATTCTGGAAGTCAGATATCGGCTTCATTCACTTATGATGGGAAGCATATAGTTTCTGCAAGTGAGGACTCGAAAGTCTACATCTGGAACCACTCAAATACAGATCATGTACCCTCATCCAATTTAAAGAGCAGTCGATCCTCTGAGTGTTTTGACTCCAGCCATGTGTGCATTGCAGTCCCATGGCAGGGTTTTTCATCCAAAAAGCCAACATCAGACACATTTGAGCTAACTTCATCACATGAAAGCAACAAAAGATATCCATCTCTTGTAGACTCTCTAGGGAACAAGATTCTCTACCTCTCACCTTCCAGCAATGTCATATTAAGCCCGGAGTTCTTTGCCGATGTTCTGCGCAGGGGTTCGGCTACATGGCCAGAAGAAAAGTTCCCATCTTCTTTATCAAAAATGTCCAGTTCTGGTAAATCACATTTCAAGTTTCTGAAGAGTTCTTGCCCGAAGAACATATCCCATGCCTGGGGCCAAGTTATAGTGACTGCTGGCTGGGATGGGAGGATTAGATCATTTCAGAATTATGGGTTACCAGTCTACCTGTGAATCCTGTAGGTTTAGTAGGTTATGATTCCGTCCGAATCATCTATCACATTCTTTGTTTGCATCGCATTTCTACTCGAGCCAGCATTGCGGTTTTTTGTACACTTGTGCAGTTTTACCAGAGGCTCCAGAATTTTCATTGATTTATTTTATATTTCCCGGCATAGGGAGATCTTCTTGGCGTTTCAGAGATAGATACTGCAACACATTTTGCATTATTTGGTGTAAAATTGAATCCCTTATGCCTCTGTGAGACTGTGACTAAGTTGAAAACAGGGGCATGCGCATTGTAACTGTGATATAGATAGAGATTTAGGTTTAAGTCTCATGGCAGAAAGAGATCTGTCTTCAAATATAATACACAGGTTAATACAAGTGTTGATATAAAGCAAGCTTTTTTGCTTGTCAGTGTAAATGTTTTTGTTTTTGTTAGTATGATTTAGCTGACTTTTTTGTAGTCATTTTCTCACATATAGTTCTTTCAATTGCTGATGATTATTTTGGTATTGTGGTTTACTCTGTAGTGACTGTTCATATTACCAAGCTTAAGCTGTTTTTAAGAAGAGTAGAACTTGTGATGAGCATTGCTAGACTATATGCAACTGTTAGCAATTTGATGCAGCAAGGGGTGCAACCGAGTTAAGCCAGCTCGCGAGCTAACTTGAGCTTGACTTAGGAAGAGGCTCAACGAGTTGAGCTTATCGAGCTCAAGCTCGAACTGACATTTGCTTGACTCGATAGGTTGCCAAGTAGCTCTTGGAGGCCAGCGGAAGCAGAAGGGGTTTAAGGAAATGGCACCAAAAGCAGAGAGGGGCAATTTGCAAGTCGAGTAGGGATTAGATGGTCCAAGTGACAACGGAGCTAGGGAGGGTGACGACAGAGATAGACGACCAACCTGTTCGGGACAACGCTCGAGCCATTCGATGTGGGACGAGTCGAGTTTGAGCTCGAGCTCGGTATTTAACAACCTAGCTTGACTTGAACATCCCCCGGCTCTTTGCACCCCTTGCAGCTCAAGGTTTGCAAATGGAAAGGCTTATTAGAGTGACAATAATTTCAGAAAAGTTTTTATCCAAATCATAGGCCTTCGGAATGAAGATTTTGGCAACGTTTGGGATGGTTTTTTATTGCTTCTTAATTAATTTTTGTATTAAAAACTGTTTTAAGAAGTATTAAAAAAGCTGTCTCAAATGAAACCTATGTTGCATCATTTTGAGGTGAAATGAAGATTTTGAGAGCAGCCTAACACTGAATAGCTCTTGTGATATCGTGGCCTGTATGGATGGTAATTGCTTCAAAAAGTTTGGTTTTTTGCCTCTTCATTAATGATCTGTGCATAATTTAGAGCACTTTGTCGCAATCGAAAAGGCGTGCATGAATTCTGCTCCCAGAGGGGAATCTTGAAATGATCGCGTTAGGCATTTTGGTTGACTGTTTAGGTGTTGTTGTTGCTCTACGGGCAGATTGACTGGGGCTATTAGAAAAGGATTATTGTTAGTGTTTCATGCAGCTCGATTGTTTTGCTATATGTGTAGCACTTGCATAATTATGATATGCATATGTTATAATTTATATAAAATTTTAAAAAATTATTTAATGTTCTCGAACAATTTTTGCTCAACTTGTTAAGTAAATGAGCTAAATTCGAATGTAAAATTTAACTCGTTTATTAACTACGTTCTTTTGATTAGTGTTGCTTGACTGCGGTCCTTCCAGCCTATTTCATTTGCCAACTACGATTCTTCTAACCTTTATCGTTGGGTGATGTTGATCCACTAACTAATGTTGCCTGTCTACGATCTTCCAACAAAGATTGTTCGACTATGGTCCTTTGCTATTGTCGTCCGATCATGATTCTTCGAAGACTATCATTTGAATGATCACTATCGCTCAACTACGATCCTTCCAACCTCAACCGCCTGCTAACTAGACTATTATCACTAGATTATTGTCCTCTGACCACCATTGCCCAACTATTATATTTCAACAAATGTCATCTATTAAGGCTATTAGAGCCTTCATTGCCCATTGATTACTGTCCTTTGATCTCTGTCGCTCGTTGATAGCTATCATTCGACCACCGCTGCTTGACTATGATCCTTTTGCCCTCTATCGCTTGCTTATTATTATTCTTTGACATTCGTCACCCGCCTAATATAGTTCTTGGACCTCAATCACTTATCAGCTATGTCATTCGACCATCATCACCTAATTATAATTCTTGGGCCACCATTAATAAATCATTGTCCTCTGAACAACATTGATTGATTATAGTCATTCTGACCTTTAACACCTGTTGAATGGTATTCTCGAACTACTGACGACCACTATGGCCCTCTGAAGAGCAACGACCGATTACGATCTTTAGACCATTGATGCATAAGTACAATCATTCCAACTTTTATCGCTCGCCAACTACTATCCTTTCTATCTATGTCGCCTTACTATAATCCTCAAATCATTGTCGCTAGTTGAGTATGGTCCTTTCAACCTCTATAATTTTTTTCCTTTTTTAAGAACTTTTTAGCCAAAAAAAATATATATAAAAAAAAAGCTTCTTATAATTCTTACACTTCTCTCTTATTTATATATATGTTGGATTTATGCGTAAAACCAATATGCTAAAATTTTGCCTCTATTATACTATCTCAAGTATATATTTGTTGCCATATGGCTTCTTAAATTTTAAATTTAATTTTAAGTGGTATATAAATTAAAAAAAAAGAATGATTAAAAAACTCATACAAAAATTGAATTAATATTGACAATCATGTTGATATCAAAAGTAGTCTCTATATGGCCAATATGGGTCCTCAATGTCGCATAAAGTTGAAGTGGAACTGAATATACAAATGAAGAATTTAGCTTTGCGGGTGTCGAACAATATATATATATATATTTTTTTTGGGAAATTTTGGGGCATAAGGCCCATTCATTGCTTATAAAGATTACAAGTAAAAACCCAACTATAATCCAACAATCTCAAGAACAAAAAGAGATTATGGATTCTAAAGAAAAGGAAAATACATCAAAAGAGAAAGAATGGCTAAAGGCAGATAGCCGTGGACTCAGAAAAGCTCATCAACTCGAAAGGGTCAAACTCGAAAGGGTCAAAACATGAGCATAGCCTCTGGTTGCCCGTGAGACCATCCAAGAGGCAGCTGAGCAACGTCAGCATTCATCATTGTCCAACCAAAATTTCCATCTCCACAGCAGCAAAATCGTCTGGCCAAACAGTAAGCCAGGAATTCCAGCATAGTCTTCGGCAAAAACATTCCAGGATCAGCAAAACAATGACACCCAGAAAACAGGGTCCAAAAATGCAAAATTACTTCCAGCATTGAGTCTTTAACAGCAGAGCTTTCTTGATTTTAGCTTTGATTGTGGTTTTGCAATCATAAATCCCGCCAAATAATCTATCATTCCTTGCTCTCCAGATAAAATAAATAGTAGCAGAAATAGTCAGAAGGAATTGATTCCTGGCATTAGCGTTAAAGCCTTGCTCCCATATGCTATCATATATTTGGTGTAAATTTGGTCTCAAAAGATACAGTTGCATCCAAGGCAATAAATTTTTAACAATATCAAAGGTGAAACTGCATTCAAAATAGAGGTGGGAAGTGGTTTCCCTATCAGTGTGACAAAAGCAGCAAATGTTAGACACCTGAATTCCACGAGCAGCAAGAATATCTGCAGTTTTTAAGCCCTCCCGAAAAGCTAACCAAGCATAAACAGAGTAGCGCAGGGCATTCTTCTTATGCCAAATGTGTTTATACCAATGCACATTATCCATATGGTCAAAAAATTGAGCATAGAAGTCTCTGAATTTAGGATTCAACTTATCTTTCCAAATATGGTTTTCAATTTGAGGTTCAATAGCCACATTGTTGATGAGGGAAAGCAGGTTATTATCCCAACTGTTGGGAAGTAACCAGCTATCATTATTGATAAAGTGGCTAACAGGATAGTCAGGAAAATGAGGGGTGGCGGAGAGAGTAGTGTTGTATATGAGAAAATCAGCAATCGAATTACCACCGCACCACGGATCCCAGAAAAAAGACAAGTTGCTGCTCGCATTAATAGAGAAAGTAATGCAGTTTTTAATTTCTTTGGCTTTATCACACAGAGCCTTCCAAAAGAGGGAGTTCTTACAGGAAATAGGTTTCCACAGAGATATGAATCTGGCTCTCCACCAAGAAAACAACAAAGAATTTTCATTTAAGAACCGCCATATAATAGAACAGGCAAAACTATGCTTAAGAGACTCAATAGATGGTATACCCAAACCTCCTTTAATTTTAGGACAGCAAGTATTCTTCCAAGAAACAGTCATGAGTTTTTTCTCATTGGTTTTGCCATAGTAGGTAAAGCGGGCGCATTGCCTAGCAATGATTTTACAGCAGCTCTTAGGAATAATAGAACCACGAATCCAATAAGCTAAAGTGTTTGCAATGGTGAACTTAATAAATTGAATTCTCCCAGCTAGAGAAAGCGTTCTAGCCTTCCAACCATCAAGATGAGTAGAAATTTTTTGCATCAACGGTTGAAAGTCACAAGTTTTTAGCTTTTTGTAGAAGATTGGTATTCCCAGGTATGTGATAGGAGAGAAGGACTGCTGTATATTGAGGGTATTGCAAATATCCACAGCCTCATGAGTATTCTTAGAAATAAGAATGGAGCTTTTTAGGGGGTTCACTTTAAGCCCAGAGCAACCCTCAAAATCCTGGAGGATAGAATTAATAGAGTGAGCATTTCTAGTAGTGGCAGAGCCAAACACAAGGAGATCATCAGCATACATGAGATGGGAAATCGAACAGTTCCCAGATTTTATAGGTTGAAAGCTGCTGTTGGAGACCGCTTGTTCTAGAATAGAGGACAGACCATCCATAACAATGCTGAAAAGATAAGGGGACAGGGGGCACCCTTGTCTAATCCCGGATGTAGAGTTAAAAAAGCCTTCAAGAACACCGTTAATACAGACAGAGAAGTGAACATTGGTTGTGCACGCTTTGATCCAAGTTATAAACATACTAGGAAAACCTTTAGCTTCAAGACGTTTATACAGAAAAGCTCTAGACACCGTGTCAAAAGCTTTCGTAATATCAAATTTTGCACACAAGTATTTATGATTGGCCTTAAGATTGAAGGAACCAAGGATATCAGTGGCCATAAGAATATTATCAGCAATGGTTCTTTTGTGAATGAAACCCCCTTGACTAGGATGAATGATAAGAGGCATCACCAGTTTCATCCTATTAGCAATAATTTTGGCTATGATTTTGTAAAGCACATTACAAAGAGCAATTGGTCTGTAATCTTTAACATTATTCGCATGGGAGTGCTTAGGAACAAGTGCAATGGCAGTGGCTTTGACCTGATTTGGCATATAGCCCGTGTTGAAGAATGAGGTGACAGCTCTAAAAAGTTGAAGTTGAATAACACTCCAAGATGATTTGTAAAAGTCAAATG